AGTATCCCCTAGATTTCAGGGCAGATCCATGGGCACTAGAGGAGGAGGTGCCAGCTAACAGTGCAACTCATTTTGGGGGCCACAGCCCTAGTAGGGAGAAGCTGGCCTGGATCTCCAAGAGGAAATCGCCATGGTCCGTGTTGTGAAAGGAAGGCGGAAGAGATATTCAAGGTGATGACCTGTGTCCTTCAGGAGCAACAGCATCTGCCCAGCTGCAGAGGGAAAGAGTCGGTGTCAAGTTCTGAGATGGAATCAGGACCTCCCAGCCCCCCAAGGAAGGACATCTCTGGTCAGTGCCAGATACGGGGTCCAACCAGTAGCCCTGTGCCCCAGCCCTCTTCTGTGGATGCCTGAGAAAGGGGGTTGGGAAGCAGTAATAGCCTCCCTGACATCCCTACCCCAAATGAGAAGACAGATTCTCCATGAACCAAAGGTAGGCTGAGTTTAACCTACTGTCTCCAGAACATCTGAAGACAGTAGGGATGGTATCATGTTCAAAACTGGGAATGGCAACAGAGACACAGGGACCAGCAGGACTCTGGTTTAGGGCTGACTCCTCCAACTTTCCCAAGCAAGACTCAGTGAAGACTCATACAAGGGTTGGGAAGGACTCTCACCAAGCTCTGGTATCTGCTCAGTGTTGCTAGGAATAGGAGTTTGTTTTCCTATTGTAACCACACTCTGCTTCTGCACCTTAATATACTATAGCATAGGGGTGGCCAGCCTGCAGCATGCTACCACAATTGGAACAGGCAGCCTCTGTGTGTGGCATGTGACAGATCTGAGAGGAACCAGGCAGGACAAAGGCAGAGGGCAGGAAGCTGAAAGCAGAGCAACAGATTGGATAAAGGAAGGGGATTGGAGTGGCACTCATAGAGGGTGCAGGGCTAATTTGTAGTCTGCCAAAAATGTTGTGTCCCCATCCCCACTGCATTTCAATAGTGTACAGGAAGCCATCAGCATTTAGAGCACACTCTCAGACCACAGTCTGCCATAAGGAAAGACTTACATACATTCCTTTGTGATATGGGATGTCACGTTTGATTTGTTCTACAACTTCAGACCTTCCTCATAGCTCCAAGACAGGTCTCAAAGCTCTCTTGAGACTTGAGCCCTGCTCTTTCATTGCCTATTTCCTATTCCACAGCTATCCCCTTCCTCTTGGAGGTGACCTAAGGCTTATTCTTCCAGCCATAAGGGGCACCGCTAACATAGCAGGATAATGAGGCACTCAAGGCTCAAACCGCAGCACAGCTCCCTGTTGTAACTCATGGTGCTTTGCAGGAAGCAACGTGAGTTACAGCAATCCATGGGACCCAAGAGAAGTACACTGTTGAGTCCCAGGGCTGGGAATCCAGCTGCTGGCTGCAAGCCTGTGGCCAGTTTCCCCTAGCAATGCCCCTCCTCCCTCCCAGCTCTGATACTGTTTTCAGACTGGGAGCGGGGGAAGGGAGTGGAGGGAGCTAGTTCTAGGGGTTACCCAGAAAGGACCCCCTAGAGGGTGGGGTCAGTGGATTGGAGCCTCCCCCTCCCCCGCCATCTCAGGGGGACTCCTGTACACCTGCCCCACCCTCTAGTACCAACTGAAAAAACCCAAACCAAACTCCCTCTTCTCCCTTTCCCCCTTCACATTCTAAAAACAGCACCGGGACTGACAGGCAGCACAGACAGAAGTTACTGAAGCCACTCCATTTTGAAGCATCTTCATCTGAACCCTCATGCAATGAGAGTTCAGATTTTTGTGGGATCAAGACCTTTTAAAGCACTCTGCACCTGTGCACTTCTGTTTGGTCACAGCTGTAGAGTGCTTTCAGGGGCCACATCAGGCAAAAACTGTCACTTCTGTCTGCATCTTCAATGGGAGGGGATTCCCATCACCTATTCTGTTTGTACTGTGCCTAGCACAATGGGGTCATGGTCCACACCTCATGAAGATTTATTGTATGTATTGTGGTAGCACATCATTGTGTTCCATGTCCCAAAGCTTTGCCAGGCTGAATACTGAGGAAGATACATTCCTGTAGAGCCACTTGATTACTAAGGAAGGTTTTAACTGGGGAAAGGGGAAGAAATCTACTCTCAAGAACAAGCAATATATCTTGCTAAGCACAAAAGCATTTCTAGGACTATGGATCTCAAAGCCCATAGTTGATGGTATGCTTTGGTCTGGTATGTCAGGAGGTTGGCAGGCAGCTTTTTCTGGCCCACGTGACATTATAAGCACAAAGTTCATGGCGCACAGTCAGCCTGTCTGCCTACACTGTCTCTCTGGTATGATTAGGGTTAATTTTCCAGATTCAGAAACAACCACCCTTGAGTCCCTATTAAACCACACACTGACTCTATGGATACTGCATGGACAACAGGCCCTGAATGTGAATGTCTGCAGTGGTTGAACAACTCACTCAAGGCTGAAGAAAATTCCAGAGAATTTCTCCAGGAGGGGAAAAGATCTGGAGTGATCCCAAGTAAGCAGATCAAGAGCTAACAAAAGCCAAGAACAGTGGCCTTGGCTACATGCATCATTTCTGGCATGTGGAAGGAACTCAGCTCCTGTGCTTTGCAGAACAATGACAACCTGATGACTTGCAGCCTTGATTATTCTGGAAAGGAAGCAGGTCCACTGCCAGCTCTTATTTACTGGGCTGACATCATTCAGGGAAGAGGTCTTCTACACTAATGCACCTCTGCAGCTTATTGCAATACAGGAAAAAGGCTGGCAGTTAGTCACCTCTGTCTGGCATTCTGCTGCTGAGAAGTTCCAGGCTCTCTGAACTGCAGTGTAAGCTCAAGAGTCTGAAAAGCAACTCCCCCAGGGCAGGTAACTATCATACCCAGGTCACACTACAGTATGGGGCTGAGAGTCTTAAACTCATTTACAAAAAATGTGAGGCAGGAGGGGAAAAATCAAGAACACATACATCAGCATAAGAAAAGAGCTGAATTTACATGGTGCAGGTAACACCAGGGGAGCTCATGGACTCACATTAGCCCCTTTTTCCACACTCAGTCCAGTAGGGAGCAGGTACCAAGCTCCCAGTCTGGAGAAAACTCTGACCTGAAAGGCCTTCCTAAGCAGGCAGAAGAACAACTTTATTGTCCCTTGGCTCCACCTAACTTTGGCTCCTTAGCTTCATCATCCCAGGCAGTTTCCTGCACAGACAGAAGTTACAATTTTCACCTGATCTGGCCCCTGAAAGCACTCTACAGCTGTGACCAAACAAGTGCACAGCTCTTTAAAAGGGCCTGATCCCATGAATATATGAACCCTCATTGCATGAGGATTCCGATGAAGGCACTCCCAAGTGGAGCACCCTTTGTAACTTGTGTTTGCATGTACTGGGTGCTGTTTCCAGAATGGGGGGAGGGAAGGGAGCAGAGGGAGCTCATTCTGGGAGTTGCCCAGCTAGTGCTGGAGGGTGGGGGCATCAATTGAAGCCTCTACCCCACCTCAGGGAGGCTCCAATTCACCCTCCTACCCTGCAGCACTGGCTGGGCAACCCCCAAAACAAGCTCCCTCTGCTCCCTTTCCCCCCCTCCCAGCCCTGGTGCTGTTTTCAAAATGGGAGAGGGGAGGGACATTACTAGGGGAGAGAGGCTGCAGGATCATATCTTCTCTAAACAGCAGCTCAATCTTGCAACCCCTAGGACTTAATGGTGAACATCTGTTGGGTGGAGGGGAGGTCAGGATCATCGCAACTCATGGTGTTTCCTGCAAAGCACCATGACTTACAACAAGGAACTGCTCTTCTCTCTGTGCCTTTGTGTGCACTCTCCTTTATCCAGTGCCCCACTAGCCTTCTCTGGCCAGGAGGATGGTCACAGGCACCAACTGCATCCACTCACCAATATATTACTGAGGTCCTGATTCTGGTTCTGCTTGTTGCAACACAGAGACCCCTCTATCCACACAGGGCCCACACATCATGGCCAAATTCAAACCTAGATAACTGCATAATGCCCGCTTTAAAAATTACCCTGTGGGACTCTTTCCACTTTGGGCTTTTGTGTTCCACCCCAAAGATAGCTGCATTTCACTGGTGAGTAAAGAGATTATAAGAAGTGATTTATCCTGCTAGATTTCTGGGCTGGGCTCCCCCTTGAAGGTGGTCAATACGCTCAACTCCCATGGGGAAAGGCACGGAAACCCCAACTTCCTAAGGCTCAGTGGCCTACCAGGTTGAGAGGCACTGCAATAAATGCAGGATGGGTGGGAACTGAAACCTCTGCTCAGCTATGCTTGAAGTGCCCTGCCATTTCCTTGCAACCTGCTCTATTCCCAGCATGGCTCTTTAACAGCATTGGGTGGGAAATTGGACGTAGCCTTTTCTTTCACAACAAAGCACCCCAGCCTTTGCTGTGCATAGGCACAAAGCAAAGAAGCAGTGTTCCCTGACTCCAAGGATTTGTGCTAGGTAGGGAATGTGGATACATCTGTCACACTACAGCTAGAATCAATAGCTTTCCAAGCCCCGGGCATTTCCTATTTTAATCATGTTAGGGAAGGTGGAGCAGGGATTCATATTTCATTACAGCTCCTCATTTCAGCTTCATTGTGAACTACTTGGTATCATTTGGGATGAGATCACTTGCTTCTGATTTGCCCATTCTCCAAGTGGATGTTAGGACTGAGTGCTAGGCCTCACATCCTCTCACTGTGTTGCAGGGTATTAACTGGATTATTACAAGACAGTAATGATCTATATGTCCTCCATTAGCAGACCCACCCAATCCATATTTCATAGTTTCATAGTTGGTAGGGTAGGAAGGGACCTGGCAGGGGGTTGGACTTGATGATCCGCTCAGGTCCCTTCCTACCCTACCAACTGTGGAACGTTCCATCCGCCCCAGCATTGCAGCATTCACAGGCTGCGCTGGTAACTCAAGATATGTAGGAAAAAAAACATTTAAAGCTGTGACTATGTCCGAATCACTGATTCCCCTAATCAGCATCGAATCTTCAGATCTGGATTCAACCAAATCGGATCAGGGACAGTGATCTGAATCAATTAATCGAATCACTGTCCCTGATTCGGGCCGAATCCAAATCAAATAGGGCCCGGTTCACACACACCTAATATTTATGCTACAGAGCCATACTTTCAATTTCTACCCACCTAGTACAGCTGGCCAAGGAATTAATTTTTATTCCTTAGAATATTTATTTCTGAAATTTTCAGCAAAGAGAAAAATCCCATAGAAATTTACATTCCCTCAAAAGGAAAATAAAATAATAATTTAAAAAAAACTTGTAAAAAATATTTCAACTAGCTTCCCTATTTTTCTAGGTTCTCAAGTTAGTGTCTAACACCATTGTATTCAAGTGCCACCCATCACTTTTACTTCTTTGTGTGCATTTGATGTGATTACTGGCAAAAGGTTAGTCAAAAGAAATGAGTTTGGCATTTAATTCTATATTTGTGATGTTAGCATTCATTCTTGTGCCATGCGGCCAAGAGTTCCACTGTTCCAAAGAAAGACTGCTCTAGAAGGAGCATATGATCTTGAAGGCAGAGGCAGTCTGAGGCAATGAGAGCTCCAACCCCCACATTCAAAGCTAGCTCTCTCCTCCCCGTAATAAACCACAGGCACTCAGGTGATCTTAGACCCATGAGATAGAGCCCCATCCTTTTGTTATATGCCCATGCACAGCACCTAGCACCAAGATACGCCAACTGCTTAGTGAGGCATATCTGCTATATTAATAATTGATAGACAACTAAAAGGCCAAATCTGAAACTGGTTCTTGGGCTTTGCAGACCCAGGCCTCTGCCATGTGGACTAATGTGAGATCATACTTGGAGGCCCTTAAAACTCTAGATGCCCTGGAAAGGTTTGAAGAGGGGGAGCTACTTGAGCAAGGAGCTCTTCAAGACTGAGGCCAGATCCTCAAAGATATTCTGCCATCTAGGTAACTTTGAAAAGCCAAGTCTGAAACCTCTGCTTCCTCTCTCACTCTTCTCCAGTCAGCAAATACTGTTCTAATGCACTAAAGCCAGGAACTAGAAGACAGAAATCCTGGGGTTTAGTCCAATTTCTGCCACTGATATTGCTGGGTGGCCTCGGGCAAGTTACCTATCACCTCCATGCCTCAGTTTCCCCATTTATAAAAAGGGAAGGTGATGATAATAATATATCCTTATCACACCACGGCATTATGAGTCTTAATTCAGTAGTGAGACAAATGCTTTGAGAATCTGGGATGGAAAAATCTACAGAAGCCTGTGAAGTCCTATCCATAACAGTAATACATCACGGGGCATCAGCTTCTAGCTTTCCCTGAGTTACACCTCACTAACGTCCAACTAAAATTCTGCCTCTGGCATCTTCATGTTTGTATCCTGATCCTGAGCTCAGTAGGCTCCTCACACACACACGCACATATATCAAGTTCAAAGTACCTGATCCTGACAGCACACAGGGGTAGTGTGGCTAAAACACCCAGTTTCTGTAGCCAATGGCACCCAAGGAAGCAATGTGGCTAGTGTCAGCTCCCCTGTTTGAATGATCAGGTGCCTTTTGCACCCAGGTTAACTTGTGGCAGACTTTGGCTTGAGACCAGGGCAGGACTTGAACTCACCCCTTCACTGCAGTAGGAGCACACCTTTTCCACTGTTGCCACATCCCCTTCCCATACAGAGGATCTTATTTTAAAGAAAGCTAGATATTTAGTACACTGGACTGGGTACACATCTATCCCCTTACCCATGTGTTCATAATTCACATTGAAATCTACCTCAGTCCCCTGCCCCACCTCATTCCCCAAAAGCATTTGTGTCTTGTTCAACAGTGAAGGTCAGGCTAATGAACACATGATAAATGCAGAGGCCAGGCCAGCTGGCAAGGCTGTTTGGGGGTGGGGGTAGAAACAGGAAAGACTGCAGCCATTCAAGAAATAATTAAAACCTGTCCTGAGGGACAGCAGCCTGCTAATGATGTTGGGATGCTGTGCCAGCTGGTTGGGCGGGCTCTGCTTCACTGGAGGCGATTTATCTCAATGCAGTCACCTACAGAAAGAGAAGAGAACATTAGGCAGGACAGCTTCAGGTGGGGCCCAATGCAAGAGAAAAAGGAGGTAGATTTTGCCTTGAAGTACATGCAGGAAATCACAGAAACAGACAGCGGGACAGAAAGGTCTCATTTGGCCAAGGACAATACCTGTGGTTGAACTGGGCATCAGCTCTATGTGAGGATCTATGAAAATAAGGGCTTGGGAAATAGCTCTTCTCTGTACAAATACCACAATTCACAAACTTGGGGATGGGCAATGTGGGAGGTCTCCCTCTGCAGTAGCAACATTAACTTCAGTGAACTGACCGACTCTCCCAGGCTGTAGGCTTTGCTGGCACCCTCTACAGCAGTGTCATTCTTCATCTCTAACGAGGGGCTGAGAGTTGCTGAGTGCAAACTAGCTGAACGCACTGGGCAATAAGAGCAAACTGTCTTGTAGAGTGACACTGAGCTACCTAGAGAATCCTAACCCAACTCTGATGTCTCCAAACCCAGAACAACTGCTAGGAAATGCAATATGCTGACCTCCAGTAGTCCTAGAACCTCCAACCCCGCACCCTACCTGTGACTGTGTACCTGTCTGGGTAGATGAGGGTGCTGCAACACACCAGCCACCATCACCTCACTGACACCAGATTTATGCTTGGACTGTAAGCTCATTGGGGCAGGAATCCTCTTCCTGGCATGTGCATATACAGTACCCAGAGCGGTTGGGGACTCTGATCTGTGGCTAGGACCTCCAGATGCTGCTGCAGTACAAAGAAATAATTAGGATGGGAGGCCCTGATGAGTGACATAGGGTCAGAGTTAGTCAGTCTCACCAAGCCACAGTGATCATGTTCAACATTTGTCTTGCTTATTCACGAAGAAGCCCCAACTGCAGAGCAGTGGGTGGGGATTTTGCTCATCTTCCACAAAACCAGAGGCTATGTATTATTAATAAAACGAAACAGAAACCTATTAATTTCCTCACTGTTTACTGTACAGTAAATCTGCTTCCTAAACAGGTTGGTCTTCAGAAGAGGCATTTGTTTAAGAGTGGCAGACAGCGCTGGGCAGCGATGTATGCTAGCGGGTGGCATATATTATTTATTTAATGAATGTATTGCTTTCACAGGCCTGACTAGCATTATATTAAAACATAACTTATCTATTTAACAAGTTTGTACCTTCATCAAATATTCATTGCAGGGAGGAAATCTACTCTCCAGAGCGGGCAGGAAGCATGCCCAGCACTGCAGCGTCTGTTATGGTAATAGTTGCCCGTGCTCTTGATATAGCTGCTATTAGACATAGAGGTTGTGGCATCTGTCCAGCCATTCCACACAGGTCCATAGGCAGTATGAGAGCTCTTCCCCCAAACCTGCTTATGGAGAATGTTTGTGAATAACTACTGACTAGGGAACTGAGCCAGCCTTCAGGATTTAAACAGAAGCTCTCAACTGTTAGGCCATTTTTTTTTGGCTGTGTGAAGCAGAAAGCAGGGTAGATTTGCACCTTACAGACTAACCAAAGTTGATAGATATCTACAGAAAGGGATGGATCCAGGGTGGGTGCCGTGGCACAACTGGACTCCCCCTTTTGGAAGCCAGTGCACCATAAGAACCATGAGAAGGGAAAGGCAGGTGGGATTTTCGCCTGCTTCAGGGACTTTATGGGGTGGTGTGGGTGGAGGAGGCCAGAAGCAGGGGGTGCAGCCACCTCTGGAGTATGGGTTGCTGCTCCTGCCACCCCTCTTTGGGAAATCCTGGATCTGCCCCTGTCTACAAGCAAACTCTGTGTTGCCTGCTTTACACCACCATATTATATATATAGTCCAAGCTTTCATGGGCTAAAGCTCATGACAACAGATACCAATATAAAGCAGGCCAGACAGTTTGTCCATCCAGGTGTGCAGTATTTGGTCCATGGTTTTTGCAGCTTTGCTGGGTTTTTTTGTCTTTCACATACATGCTCAGCTCCCTGCCCAATGAATCTCACCTAGTAGCAGTGGGACCTTGGCACCCAACTTGTGACTAGCCACTCACTGTGGGGGAAAGCATTTCTGGGCTCAATGCTTCCCTTACCAATTACCTGTTCAGCCAAGACAAATCGCACTCATCCAGCACCAGCTAGATGTCCTCTCAGGCCAAAACTCCCCCGAGCTGGGCTGTGCGAGCCAAATCCATTCCTGAAGTAAAGGAAAATGAGAGTTATGCAAGGATGAATTCAGTCCCTGTTGCTTCTAGTTCTTTCAGTTTAAGCCCCAGAAAGACTACCACTACCCTGCAGTCTACCTAGACTTGCTGGGGAGATGGATTGATATCCAGGGGAATGAAAATGCATTGGTGCTATCCCCATGCAATACAATGAGGAATCCAGTCCCCAAACAGGAAACCTGGAAGCAGAGCCAGCTTTAGGGAAAATGGTGCCCTGAGCAAACTTGTATTTTGGTGCCTCCCCACAACATCCCCCTAAGTAACCTCCCCTGGTCCCCCACCTCCCCAAGTCACTGGAATTGCTGCCCTGCTACAGAGGAGCCCTGTCCAACAGGCTGGGGAGCTGGCCAGGGTGTCTGCCTGTGGCAGGGACTGCCAGCTGCAGCCCTATGGAGCCAAAGTGGAGGGAGCAGAAGTTTGCAATAAGTGGCCACCGAGTGCTGGCATGGGGGCTCTGGTGCCCTACAGCCACTGTGGAGCTCCTCCAGGGCCTGACATGCAACCAGCCACATGTAGGCGAGGTGAGGCTGAAGCCCTCCCTTGCTCCCCTCTTCAGGCCACTATTGCCAACTCCCTGCATGTGCCACCCTGTCCAACCCTGATGGGAGCAGGTGCCACTCTCACTGCCCCCTGCCCCATCAGCCTGCCTCCAGGTTCTGACAGCCTCCCTCTGTCTGGGGATTACAGGAGCCTTAGAGTTAGATCAAGTCACAACCTCACTCCCAGAAGCCCAACCCATTCCTCTATAGGGAAGGTCATGATATTTCAGTGCATGCCAACCCCGCAGCAAATACCCCAGGAGCAGACATCAGCTCTTCTCTCACCTTAGCCCAGATTGCAGTCAAATCACTTCAATGAACTATGAAAAAGGCAACCAATCTGGGCACGGATTCTTGAACTTACTTACTGTTAGCCACATGCCACAGTGCTTGAGTTCACTCCTCCTCCCTGAGACAGGCTGCCTTCCCTGGGTTCCTATCAGAGGATCAGAGCCAGGCTGGAATAATTAACACATTTCATTTTTGCATCTCAGCAGGATGCCTGTACTTGCCTCTTTTTATCTTCTTGCTATTAAGTGAGTCCTCTGACAGTAGCACAGAAAACCAGGACCTCAGTTTATTCTCTGCTGGAGATGGGGAGGAAAGAAGCTACTCTATTAACACCTCCCCTGCTTTCATCTGGTTAATCCACATTCTACTTTAATATGCTATTCTGTTGCTCACCTGGTAGGGCGCACCTCCTCTTCCTGACAATATCCATAATATAATAATGCAGAACGCTTGACCTTATGGTAAAGTTCTCCTTGGTCCCAAGTCTGGTGCTGCACTCAGTTCCCAGCTCTGCCATAGGCCCCCTGCGTCACTGGGGGCAAGCCAGTTATTCTGTCCCTTCTCTATAACGGGAATAATAATTAACCTCTTTCACAGAGGTACTGTGAGGGCCAAAGCTACAGACATGGAAGCCATCTTGGTGCCTCTGTATGTAAAAAACACTGACAAGGGACAGTAACAGCAGCTCAACTCCATTTGAGTAACCCTGGCCCTAAGCTAGCAAGCAGACATAGGGCAGATCTAGGAATTTGAAAGGGGGGTGCAGGAGATGTCACTGGCACTGCAGGGTTGGCTGCACTCCTCCCCTCCTCCCCCCCGCCTGGTGGGTAGGGCAGTAGCCATCCCCAGCCCAGTCCAGCTCTCCACATAGTCACTCTTTGCAACTGGAGCCCTCTAGCTGGTGAAGGAAATGCTGTGAGGTGGAAGGGAGCAGGGACCTGCCTGCTACCACGAAAGCTCCCAGCTGGATTAGGGCAGGAGCAGTCCTAGGGCTTCTCCCATCCCCAGGTCCTGTGGTGACAGGAGCAGGGGGTGGATCCCTCCTTCTTGAGTTGCTCCCTGCTTCACCTTGGGTGCCCCATAACAGCTCAGGGCTCCAGCTGTGGGGGACACAGGCAGCCAGGTACAGGGACCTGGAGCCACCAGCACAAGCTACACTGTGAGAGGTGGGCTGTGACCATGCCATTGCACTCATCCTCCCCCAGAGCCAATCTTGCAAGTAGAGGAGACAAAGTTCTTTTTTTAGATCCATGGGCTCTTCATACCTATCTAACGTCTGGTGAGATGCAGGAGGCCATCCCTTTCTCCTCCTTCCCTGCCAGGGTGGTGGAAAGCAGGGGATGGTAGAAGGACAGGAGTCATTGTCACTGCTTGCTGGAAGGGAGAAGGAACCGCCTAGGCTCTTTCTGCTCCTTCCTCCCCTTGGGTGCCAGTTGCCACAGAAGGCAAGGGGGAAGAGCTCTGTCTGCCCACAGCAGGTGGGCTTGTTCTGATGTCTTCCCTCCTAGGTTAGAGCAGCCAAACAGAGAGGACTTCCCCCACTCAGCATTGCTGAAAAGGTACAGCAGTCAGTGTCCCAGCTGGCCACTGTGGTATTTTATTCCCCAGCCTGCAATCCAGCACTCCTGTCAGGCTCCAACCAATGCCATGCCTATACCCAGGGACTGATGCTCATTGCACAGTGACACCAGGTGCCTATGTGCTGCCTATCAGGGTGCTCATGACCAGGCAATATATACCACTAATGGATTGGAACAACAGTACAATTAAACTCCTTCCCCTGGGAACAGCAGTCTCAGAGCTACCTGGCTCTCAGAGAAGAAACTGTCAATTCTCTTTAAAGATCCCTTGCTCAGTCATCCGGGGCCTTAACCATACCCCAATTCCAGCTCCTTTGCTTCTTGCCTCTTCCTGGGGGTTCAGGACCCTTTGTGACTCTCTCTTCTCTGCTTTGCACCCCTTGAATGCACCACTACTGCATAGGTGCCAAAAGCCATAAAGCAGCCCTGACCCATTCCTACCATCACAGCCATGGCCTGCTCAGAGTCACCCATACCAATTTCTGCTATGGAAACGAAGGTGCCTCAATCCACAGTTGGAGGCTGAGGGCCCCAAGTCAGGAAAGCACTGAAGCGCCAGCTTAGGTCCTATTAAAATCAGTGAGACTTGAGCAAGAGCTTCCTGTTTTGCTATATTGGAGTCTGAATGAATTCTCTGCATTCCAGGCAGCCATACACCTTGCCTGATGACAGTATGTGTGGTGCACCCTTTATGACAGCTGACATGAATGTGAGGGGCCAGCACCAAGCAGCTTGGTTCCCATTACTGACTGGGGTTGGTCATACCCTGCTGCTGCTTTTGCAAGGCAGTTCCTCTTCTTGTCACTGTGCTCTCTGCCACTACCAGGTATTGATTGCTTTGTGACCATGGATCCTGTTGGGACACTGCAGCTGTTCTGCAATGGAGCCTTGCTGTCAGCACCAGGCATCGATCCATCTCCTGGCACAAGGTAAGCATTCACTTTTGTCTATTGCAAGGCAAACCTGCTCAACACTTCTGCAACTTCAGCAAGTCAATTTAACCTGCAGGGAGGCAAATGGGAACAACATGGCAGCATGGACATGAATGTAGCATGGATATGAAGAAAAGGGAACAGCATGCATATGAATGTAGCCATCAGCTCTGACACATTCATTTCAAATACATGCAGTGACTCTGCTCCATCCTGCTAGGGATGGCAGGGAAGGGAGAAACTCCTCAACCTCACTGGTACCTGATTAACAAGCAAGAAGCTCAGCCTATGTCAAACCAGCAGTATCCCCAGTAGGGGGTTTATAAGAACAGCGATATAGATATCCCTAAGAGGCCTTCCCTTCTGCCCCTCTTCCTTCCCCCCCAACTTGCCCAGGGAGAATTTTCCATTCCCCCACACAGAAATATCAGGCAGTGCCTCCAGCCCCACCACTGCTGCATAGCAAGTGCATTTGAACTAGGAAGGGAAGTAGCCTAAAAATGCAGAAGGAAATAACTAGATCCAAAGGAAGACAAATGACAGTGAGGAAAAAGTCACTCAGACTTTCCATAAATTTCTCCAGCAATAGCACTGACACCAAATGCCCTTGTGGACAAGTTCAAACCACGTCCCACACTGCTGACTCATGTCCATTTACTATGCTACCTGGTGGCCTTCAAGCTCTTCATACTGGTGATGAGATTGCCTTAAGATGGCTGAAACAATATTTGTTTAGCATATGTGGCTTTGACATAAGCAGCACTGTTTAAGACCTTCTCTACAAATAGGTGAAATGATGTCACTTACCTATGTCATTCTTCTTCCCTGACAGTCTCCTTCCACAGAATGCCTGTATAGAAGTCCCAGACCTAACTAGATGGCTACATAGCCCTGTGAAGCAGCACCAATAGCTAGGGAATGGTGCATTCCCTAGTTCCTCGAGTCCTGTTCTCTCAGGAATGAGCATGCCAAGCACCATCCTCATCAAAAGGCCCCAAGCTCCTCTGTACCTGAGGCTCTAAAGTTATAGCTCTAGAGGAGTCAAATAAAGAATGAGAACAGTCATTGGCTGGTGTTGCCACCAAAGAATGAGAAATTGTAGCCATGTCTAAACGATAGCCTCATTGTGCCTGGCATTAGTGCTCTCAAAATCATGGCATGCTGCTCAGAACTGCTTCTACATGGCACTGCAAAGAAATGCAGATACACCTGCTTCTGCTTAAGCAGTGGCACATGCAGAGCAGTGTGATATGTTTGATGGCACCACTGCCTGGCAAAGCAAGTTTAGTGCCATAGACATGGGATTTGTCATCTACCCAGAGAAGGGGTTGCCCATCAGGGCCCACAACCCTGAGACCCTCCCAGTCATTTCTGGTGGCCACTACCTTAATTCCTTCTAGCACAAAGGAGGCTGCCACTGAGAAGGACCATTCTACAACCACAGCGGCAAAGAGGTCTCAGGTTCTGGATGATGCCTCACTGACAACAGCTAGCTGCAGCACAGATTGCTAGCATCTAACTTTAAGCATAAACTGTTGGGTTGGCTTCAGCAGGACTGTCATAAGCACGTTTCAAATTAAGCATTTTAAGGCTGCTGCTGAACTGAGACCTCCATTCACAAAATTCCTCGCAAATGTTGCAGCCACACTGAGGGCTTTTCCTGTAGGAACCTCTTTTCCTTTGTGCATATCACAGGAAAATATGAAACAACTCAAATTAGTGCAATCAAGTAAGAGGTGACAATAACCAGCACTCCACATTAGTCAGGCAAGAGGACCAAAGTCAGAACCCATATTTGAACCCATCCTCCCACCCACCAGCACCTTTGAACCCAGAGGTTTAAATAAAGCAGAATGGGGATCCAAATGCACCCTGGGTTGGGATTAGGATTTGTGAGATGGAGCCCCAAAAGGAGAATGCTTTGCAAACCCCCCCCCCCCCCCAGTTTGGATCAAAAAGAACTTTAGGGGCTGGCATAAAAATGGAGCCACCGGAGGCCTGGGGCAGGCAAAGCCAAAAGCCAACCAGTGAAGCATGGCAAAGCCAAAGAAGCTTCTTCACTCTGCCCACCAACACTTGCTTCTCTGGCTCCACACAACTTGATTTTAAAGCTGCACATTTTCCTTCCAACGGCAGCCTGAATTCTCCCAGCGTCCGTTGCATGGCTTGTTCCCCGAGACACCTGCACAAACAACCACCCCCACCCCCACACACTCAAGGAGAAAAAAAAAGCCACCACTTTTCTTTGCAATACATACTCAGTTTTTGTTTTAATCCCAGAGAAGTGAAATGCAACATTTGTTTGAGTTTTCAACAACATCCAAGGACAGAAGAATCAGAACCCCCTAGTTGTGAAAGTCATTTTTTAAGGCACTCTGCAAAACCAGCGTTCATCTCCTCTTCCTTCTGATCTTCCCTGTGCGGCAGCAGAAATACCCAGTTCTTCCCCACCCCCCTTTCCTTTTCTCTCCATAGTGACACCCACACACTCTTGCTTTTTTG